CATGTGGCCTTCAGATAGGTTTTATTTTGTCTGCTCATTAGTACTATGAACTAATTGCCAACATTAACAACCTAGATTACAGACTTTTCTGTAATTACAGATTACAGAATTCTCTTGAAAAAATTGCAAGATCTGGCAACACTGGATCCAAAATTCCAAACGACAACAATCAACTGACTGGTGGCTGCCTCTTTGAGGTAGGGCGTGAGGGTTCCAGTTAAGCCACAGTCCTCACCATTCCTGGATGTCCCCCTGACACTGAGGCTTCATGCAGAACAACCTCACTCATTTACATTGCCTATCTGGTCCCTAAAGGCATTTAGCTTTGAACCATGGCTGGGCAGAGGGAAGCTAGATGGAAAAACGTATCACTATCCATAGCCTGAAATACTTAGCTATTTCTGAGCAGCAAGTTTAGGAACAGAATTCTAGAAGCCAGTGTTTCTGATTAGCACCCACTTTAAGTTCTAAGAGTTTAGCTTCACTTTTCACTAAGTAACAGGGCAAATTAAGAAATGACTCAAGCACTGAAGATCAAAGTCTTGTAGTGGCTCGCTTGTGCGACAACGCGTGGGTGAGCATAGCATGGTAAGAAGGGATTTTTGTATGGGCACACCCTCATCAGGGAACAATGGGATGTGGGAGACACGAAATCGTGATTTTGAGACATCATATATGCCTCCTTCATGTATATGCCATGCTGAGCTGCAACAGCAGATCAGCTGTGAAAAGATGATTTTCCAGTGAAGCAAGTCGAGGAAAAGTCATTCTTTAAAACTACTTTCAGGACTTATGAAATTTTAAAGGGCAGATCCTAGACTAGGATTTGACAACTGTGCCTTTAACACAGACACCAAATAGTCTCTGTACAAAGGACAGAAAAGATGCCATTCCTGGACCTTGCCCAGGTCACTGGTGGCGGCTGGTGAAACATGGAGCAGAGTGGTGTCTGGGGTCTCTATCTCAGCAGCAAGGATGGGCCTGGAGTTTGGAGGTGAGAACTCACACACACGAGTAGGGACAGGCACAAAGTTTCAACGAGGACACAAGCTTCACCAGTAAGCCTGACGGGAGCTGGATTTGCCATGGAGTTCATCATAAAGCAATAAATTGAAAAAACATCCACTCAAAGATTACTGAACCAGAGGATTCAGACACGTGGCTACTATAATGTCATAGGGCTAGTTTCTGACAAATTCTTAAATTTTATTCTCTTAACCACCACTGGACTTCAGCATTCTTTCTTTCTTTTTTTTTTTTTTGTGAGGAAGATCAGCCCTGAGCTAACATCCATGCTAATCCTCCTCTTTTTGCTGAGGAAGACTGGCCCTGAGCTAACATCTATTGCCAATCCTCCACCTTTTTTCCCCCAAAGCCCCAGTAGATAGTTGTATGTCATAGCTGCACATCCTTCTAGTTGCTGTTTGTGGGATGTGGCCTCAGCATGGCCGGACAAGCGGTGCATGGGATCCGAACCTGGGCCGCCAGTAGCGGAGTGCGCCCACTTAACCGCTAAGCCACGGGGCCGGCCCTACTTCGGCATTCTTAAGAAAGGAAAGAGGGGATGGAATACGTCACTGATGACTAAATCTTCCTTTAAAGGTATTAGAACTTAGAATGATGATAATTTTCTCAAAGGCAAAAATGACTATTTCTCCCAGGCAGACCTAATATTTTGAATAGTCTATCAAAAATTAAAACACCTCTTCACGGCAAAGTAAATATACACAAAACGGAACAGGCTTGTGATGTGAAAACAAGGTGTACTTTCCTTCCTCTGTACTTGTGCCACCGTATTAGTCAGGGTTCTCTAGAGAAAGGGAACCAATGGGATGTACATAAACATATATAGGAGAGAAATGGATTTATTATAAGGAACTGGCTCACATGATCACGGAGGCTGACAAGTCCAAGATCTGCAGGGTGAGTCAGCTGGACCCAGCTAGAGACCCAGGAGAGCCAACGTTTAAGTTCCAGTCTGAAGGCAGGAAAAAGCCAATGTCTCAGCTCAAAGGCCATCAGGTAGGAGGGATTCCCTCTTATTCAGGGTAAGGTCAGCCTTTTTGTCCTATTTTGGCCCTCAACTGACTGGATGAGCCCATCCAAATTGGAGAAGACAATCTGCTTTACTCAATCTACTGATTCAAATGTTAATCTCATCCAGAAACACCCTCACAGACACAACCCAGAAAAATGTTGGACCAGATGTCTGAGAATCCCGTGGCCCAGTCAATTGACACACAAAAGTAACCATCACAACCCCCCACATGCCCGGTGGGTGAAAAAGCAAGGACCATCAGCCCACAGCAGATGCTGGAATCTGTGACAAGCAAATATTTGGGGAAGAGAAACACGAGACTGAGCCTGTGGGGAAGGGGCCACCTCCTACGGCACCCCCTGTCCGCCAGCTGCTCTTATTGAGCTCGCTCAGCTCTTATTCTGGGTCGCTCCACACTGACCCACGTAAGGCTGTGTGCCACTATGCAACTCCCAGAATGGCTACAATGAAAAACAAGTACTGACAACGCCCGGTGCTGGTGGGACAACGTGGACTCTCATTCACTGGTGGAGGGACTAACACATGCAGCCACTTTAGCAAACAGTTGGGCAGTTTCTTAAGTTAAACCTATATTTACCCCACGACCCAGCAACCCCACTCAAAGGCATTTACCCCAAAGAAATGAAAACTTATGTTCATACACAATCTGTATGTGAATGTTGATCGCAGCTTCTTTCGTGTTCGCCAAGTACTAGGAACAACCCAGTGCCCTTCAGTGGGTGAACGGATAAACAAGCAGCCGCGCAGCGCAACACTACTCAGCAATAAAAAGGAGAAAAGGGCTCCTGTGTGAATCTCAAAAGCATTGTGCTGGGTGAAAGAAGCCAGACTCAAAGACTGAATGGGATATAATTCTATTGATATGACACTCTTGAAAAGACAAAACCATAGTGACAGAGAACAGCTCAGTGGTTGCTGGGGGTGGGGGTGGAGGGTGGGGGTGACTGTGAAGGGATAGTACAAGGGAGTTTTTGGGGTAATGAGACTGTTCTGAACCCCAATTTGGGAGGTGGTTACACAAATCTACACATGTTAACTTTCACAGAATTACACAACCCTCCTCCAACATCAAATTTACTGTACGATAATTTAAAAAATTTAAAAGTCAAATGGTAAAAAATTAATCATGTCATCCATTTTATGCACAGAATAAATGGGAAATATCTACAGAACGGGGTCAATCAACAGAAGCTGAATCTGGACTATACACACGCAGGTGGGAGTAAGAAGGGCAGGACCTCACAGGCATCATTCGTACAGTCTGATACCCGAAGGGGATAAATGACGTTCTCGAGTCACTGAGCACAACCTGGTAATTCTCTGAAAAGGTTAACAGCTGTGATTTGTAACGTTTCTTTCCCAGGAACTTTGGATTCATGGTTTCTTAAAACAGCCTTAAGGGAGGAAATTTAGGCTTAGAGATGGCAAAGGATTTGCCCCAGATTCTGATCTCAGTCTGTCTGGTTCCTGAGTTGCCACACGGAGGCACAGTGAGGATTACACCTTGTTCCCTTCTGGACCCCGAGCAGGCCCTGAATCCTCTGTGCTCTCAGAGTCCTGCTCTTCCTTTAAAGCAGTGGTTCTCAGCTGGGTGGAGTGGGGGGGATTTTGCCCCCAGGGGACATGTGTCAAGGTCTGGAGACATTTTTGGTTGTCATAGCTAGGGGGTAGGGTGCTAGTGGCCTCTGGTGGGTAGAAGCCAGAGATGCTGCTAAACATCCTACAATACACAGGACACCCCCCGGAACAAAGAATGATCCAGTCCTAAATGTCCCCAGTGCAGAGGCTGAGAACTTCCTGGTCTAAAGGAAGGACGAAAGGAAAGGAGTATTCAACATATCCATGAGCGAGACACGGTTGGAGGTATTTCTAACTTATCTCATTTATCTCCTCAAGATCCTCTTGAGGTAGGTATTGTTAACCCCAATTTATAGTTAAGAAGGTTACAGCTCAGACCCATACAGGAATGGGCCAAATCCCAGGGACAGATGAGCAGCTGGGGCTCTGACTGCAAAGCCCAGGGTGCCAGCAGGGTGGGCCGGCCTCCGTAGAGCTCCCTTCACTTCCATCTCCTCCGCTCTCCCAAACCACCTCCAGCCCGAGGAGAGCTGCAAACAACAGGAGCTCTTGGGCTGGCAGAAGGGCAAGTCTGAACTCTAGAGGCTCCAAGAAATGGGTGGGGTCTGCCATCACTGAGAACCACCTAGGACTGACTGGTTTGTCTCTTGCTCCATCCACCCCTCTGCCCTCAGGGCACTAATGTCTGTCCTCCGTCCAACCAGCCCAGAGGCAGCCCCAGTGGCAGTTCTGGACGGCTTCTCCTCCTCGCCTTCTCCCGGAGCAGTGGGGCGGGCAGGCAGGGGCGGGACCCGGGGGAGACGTCACGGAACAACGCCTTACAATCAGTGTCCCACAAGAACATCTGACGGGCAGGGCGCACCGGAGAAAATAAGCAAAACGCTTTAAAAACAAGTCCCATGATCACCTCTGATGATTCTGGTTCAATTTTACCCTTTCATATAATTAGTGTTGACAGGTCCAACAGTTGAAAATAGGGGTGTGTGTGCAAGACAGAGAAGGAAGAGAGGAGAGAGAGGAGAGACAGAAAGAGAACGGAGGAGAGAAGGAGAAAACCAGAGGGAAGGCGGAGGAACAGCGTGAGAGGAGAGGGACATACACCTAAAGCCTGACATGAAACTCAGAAGAGACAGCCTCCTGACAACAGAAGAGGAACCCCGAGACTGGGGACCCTCTTGCAAACCAGGTGGGGCCACATCAACGGGGGCTGCGATCAGACTCCAGAGAGGCGCAGCGAGGCCTCAGGGCTCAGGGCGGGCGGCAGCTGCTCCCCAGCCCGGCAGAGCAGAGCGCCTCCCCTGGGGGCCCGGGCGGGGCTGACCTCGCGCGCGCCCCCGCCCGCGCGCGCGCGCGCAGCACTCACAGCTCCAGGATCAGCACGACGTCCGTCTTGCTCTCGTAGACCTCGTGCAGGGTGATGACGTTGGGGTGCTGGATCTCCTTCAGGATGCCCACCTCCCGCTCGATGTCCTCGCGGCTCACGCCCCGCCGGCTGGACTTGGTCCTCCTCTTCTTGATGAACTTGGCGGCATACTGTAGCCCGGTGCTTTTCTCACGGCATTTCTTCACCACTGCAAACTGCCCGCTGCAGAGAGAAGGCGGCGGAAGGTCACGGTCATTGATATGTTCTTTATTGTTCACTGAAAAACAGGACTTGAGCGAGGACATGGCATGGACGCACAGTGGAATTGTGAAGAGAAAAGTCCAAATGGTGGGAAATTCACAAACTAAAGAGGATATTTCTTAATTTATGTATTCCAGTTTCATTAAGGTTGTTTCTTTATGAATAACGTTGCAAGGAATAAAAATTCTTTTCTTGAATTACATTTTACCGAATGGGTATTAATGCCTCCAATTTCCGTGCCCTCCTCTTTCCCTCCTATTTCAGATGTGGGACAGAAGGAAGGAGCTCCCCCCTCACTTCCGACAAGCTCTTTTCCTGTATGTCTAGGAAAACAAGGGGTGAGACCAGGGAATTGGTAGAAAAATATGCAGGGCCTTGCGTTTGATGACAAATTTCTAGCACTAATATTTATCAATTGAAACACTGAGAACAAAAAAGCTGTACATTTTGGTCACTCTGCCGGGACTGATGAGCCACATCAATGTACTAGACATCGGCTGGTTGCTACTCCAGGATCACCTCCCTTCCCAACAATGTCTACATCTAGGATCCGTGGTTCTGGGGACGCTGACTCCACCCCCAACTACAGATATGGAGCCAATCAGTGCACTACATTTTCTTGCCTCCACTGATGAGCTCATGACCTAAGAACTCCCAGAGAATGCAAAGACAAAGACTTTTTCTGAGACTCTCTTCTCTTTTGGATGTGAACAGTGAACTATATGACCCCAAAAGCTGCTGCCAGCCATCTCCACAAGGGGAGCCACTCTTGGTTTAAAGCCAACCATTGCAGGGGCAGAGCTGGTAGAAGGAAAGAAACTAGGTCTGTGGTAACACTGTGGAGCGGCTGGATCAACCCTAGCCGGAAGCCATCTGCCTTTGGATTTTCAGCAACATAAGCCAATAAATTCCCTTTATTACTAAAGCCAGTTTGATTTGGGTTTTCTATTTCTCGCAAAGTATCCTATACATCCTATGCCACAGCGTGTAACCAGAGCTTCTTACCCATATATAAGAGAATATAATAACAGAACTTGACACAAAATAATAAGACGAATACGTAAGCAGGTGAGATCTTGAGAGGTAAGGAGGCCATCCTGAAAGTAAGTGAAACAAGGGAAAGACCCTTCCTGTATGGACGCTGACACCCTCGCTTCTTCCCTAGCGCCCAAGGCAGGGTGGATCCACCCATCACAGGATCTGTGCATTTCTTGGCACCTGCTGGAGAACTGCTGTGTAGAGAATTATCACAGTTATTTTTACCTAGCTATATTCTCCTCACATGAAGACAAAAGGGGGAGAGAAAATCAAATTAAGGGTAATATTTTGATGTTAAAGAATGGATACTTTAAAACGTTACTCATGTACTTTAGCAGCGGGAGGCCAGTGAAGAACAAATACATAATGAAGGATTATTTATATAATGTAGCAGCGTCAATTTTTTTGCATGACAAGTTATTAACACCCTCTTCCCCCTGCAGCAGGATGGCAGGGAAGCTGAAGAATAAATCACACCGGAATGCCAACACCCACTGCCCATAAACTCACAACCTAAGAGTCATAGGGTCTGTTACGACTTCATGAGCCATTTGCCGATTTCTCTAGGGAGTGAAGACCTGGGCTTTCTCTCTATGGGGGGGTGGGTGGCAGAGATGGGGCTCCTGGAGAAAAGACGGAAAGCAGCTCCCCTCCCCACAAAGACGGTATCACGATCCCACTGAGTGCTCCCCGGGGCCCCAGGATCGAGAGGGGGCAGTGCACGGGCCCAACCCAGGCTTTCTAGCCCACAGGCAACCCGTGCCTCCAGGGTCTGGGCTGTGCACTCCTCGTCATGGTCACGGCGACTTGTCTGGGGCTATAAACAGTCAAGGAAGACTCTGTGGTTTGAATCACGTTGCTTTAAAAAACACAACCAAAGAGCCAAAAAGTAAATTTCAGGGAGAGCCACAAAGAAATGACATGCAAGCCTAATTCAAAGACTCTCCTGAATGTGTATTCACCCCCAAATGTCCGTGTTGACCTTTCCCCCTTCTAATTATGGGAAGCCGAGAGCATCAAGGACCACCCACCCTAACAGCCAAGTTAAGGCAAGGTACTCGACATCGGTGGGTGGCGGCCAGAGGCATGTGCACAGGCCTCAGCTGACCGCATCCCCAGGTGTGCAGCGAGATGCCTGGAACGCACGCCCTCACCACAGAATTGACTCCTCACTGACACTTCAGGGTCCCCAGGAGGAGGGCGCTGGCGGGAGAGGAGGGGATAAGGGGCCGACAGGTGGGAAAGGCTCTGGCCCAGGAGAAGATGTGATTCTAATGCCGCATGGCTGCATGCTAGTGTCCCAGCTAACCTTGGCTGCAGAGGGTCCAAAGAGGGCCTAGAATGATTTTGGGGAACACTTTCTACACCCATCTCAATGCCACCTCTTTAAAGACACTTTTCTCTGTTTATCTCCAACTCCCCAAGAATCTGCCCCCACCTTCTGCTTCAATCCAGTGCTCTCTCCTGCACCTGCGTCCACAGAGCACCTCGTGCCCCTTGTGTGTCACTTGCTGTTCTCTGCTTTTCCTTGCCCATTTCTACCCCTCCCAAGATGGTAATTCCTTGAGGACAGAGGGACATCTTTCTATCCCCTGGGGCACTGGGTGCAGGGCTCCACCAGGAACCCATGCACAATGCTCATGTGCTGCTCTTGAACTCTGAATCTATGATCCTAAAACCAGAGGAGTTAAACTGAAGATGCATCACCGTAATTCAACAGAACTGTGTAGGGCTGGCAGCACAGACTGCCTGTGTTTGAGTCTTGCTTCCACCACCTGCTGGCTGTGTAACTGGGCTTATGTACTACTAAACCACTCTGTGTCTCAGTTTCCTTATCTGTAAAGTGGGATAATAATAGTGCCTACCTGGGGGCGCTGCTGGGATGGAAGGGGAAGGATGAAATGAGCTAAGCCGGGTGAAGTGGTTAGAACAGCACCTGGCAGTGGGAAATCTTCAGTAACTGTTAGCTATTACTAATCTTTGACAACTGGAATTATTTTCACTAGCTCACAGTTGCTTAAATCTCAAAACACTGCGATGTTACCCCCAAAATATCACCTCTCATGACTGCCAGGGGGGAAAGAGCCCTAAAAAAAAGGCCACAACAGGGCTGTACTGTGCTAAAGTGTGCAAAACTACTGCTAAATCTGGCAGCTGGCTCCAACCTTCAAGCCGTCATCCCATCCCTTTCCTCTCCCTGCCCCACCCAGAGGGAGTCGCGCTCCCCACTGCTCCCCGCATCCCGGTCCCCGGGGAAGCTCAGAGTCACAGCCGAGCCAAAGGGCAGGCAGGAAGCCCACGGGGGCCCAGGGCCTTGGCATGCACTCGGTAATGCGTGTGGGGAATTGCACAGCGGAATGTCCTCAGGCGTCCAACAAACTGAAGACAGACTCCTCGGAGAAGAAATCCTTCTCCGCACACAGTCATTTGCTCTGTGAGACCTCATTCGAGCTGGACTGCTGGTTAATGGCTGCGTGGATCCTTTCTTTCCTGGGCAGCTGGCCCTCGCCCCGGCTCCCTTGCAACCACTTTGGGGGTCAAGTCCTCTTCTCCAATCCCTCCCTCCCACCTCCAACAACTATAAAAACAATTTGTGTGGGTTTTAGAGGGCAAGGGCTTCTAAATCGTGGGCTCCCAGAGTAACAAGCTGATCACGCTCCTGGGGTTTGCTCTGAGCAGGGAGGGCAGTAGGTGGATGCAGAGAACACGGCCCCCAGGGCCGCTCTCGGGGCTGCCTGTTGCTCCAGCCCTCCTCTTACAGACTCATGAGGCTCCTCAGGGACTGCCAGCCACACAGAGGCAACGGAACAACTAGCTTCTTTACTGGAAAACAGAAACTCACTGTATACTAAGACATCTACACTTGACGGGGCAGAGGACAGGAAATCCTCATTTTTTGCAGAGTCCGTATTTGTGAACTTGCCTACCTACTAAAATTTATTCGTAACCTCAAAACCAGCACTCGCAGCGCTTCCGCAGTCATCTGCGGATTTGAGTCGCCTGATGGTCACGCTCCCAGCTGGAGTCAGTCAAGGCCACGCTCTGCCTTGTATCAGCTCTCATCCTTTTCATGGTCTGTTTAGTGCCATGTTTCTTCGTGTTTTGTGCTTTGTGTCGATGATTTCACCACTTATGATGGCCCCCAACGTGGTGCTGGAGGGCTGTCCGGAGCTGGCCAGCACAGAGACCGGGATGTGCCCGACAGAGAAAATGTGTGGGCCGGTCAGCTTCACTGGGGCACGACTTACAGCGCTGTCGGCTGTGAGCTCAGTGTGAATGAGTCAACACTAGATACTAGATCTAGGGCCTTTTCACAGAAACACACATAAAACGAGGTTAGGCCTTGACCTGCTGACGAAATGTCGTGACCAGAAACTCACAGGAACCTAACCCTGTGTTTTCACTAGGACCAATGGTTCAGTATTTGCTAATTCAGTGTTTGTGGTGAATTTACAGAATATCACTACCACGGATAATGAGAATCAGATGTATGTCGTTTTTAAAAAATGCACTAATATTCTCTGTCATCTAATAATTGATAGAACAGTTTGTTGCTAGGTACAGACAGGCAAATTCATTTTGACATAAAGACTTCCAATTAAATGTAACAAACATTTATTAACTACTAGTGGTCAGATACATACAAAGACAATGAGGCACATCCCTGCTTTAAAGAGTTTTACACTAAAAAAAATTTGATTAAAAAATAATCACAAATGTTATTAAAAAGAGAAAAACTCTGGCTAAAAGGGGCAAAGCTTCATAAGGAACAACCTGCTGTCTAATTTCTTTGTCTGATTTACTGGTGTATCTAATTTAATCACTACCCTTGTAGTCCCTCAGTGAACTGTACCCCCAGGATTCTATGCAAGGCACCTTACACAGATGACTTTATTAATAATCACAATTCTGTGAGATATACA